CCCTCGCCCTGTGCCCCCGGCCCCGTCCCTGCCCCCGCCGCGCCGCGGCCGCCGCCGCCGCCGCCGCCGCCGCCGCCGCTGCCTGCGGCCAACGCCTCGCAGGCGGAAGTCAAGGCGCGGGAGATCGCGCGGAGCAGCTCGTCGTCAGCCATCATCAATACCCCCACCGTGCCAACGCTCACAAACGTGAGGATGTCCAGCGCCCAAGCCGCCTCCACCCAGGCAACAGCCTCCACCCCCGCGCCGCGCCGCCAGAGGTCCAGGCCCCGCGCCATCGCGCCCAGCAGCTGCAGGCTAGCTGCCGGCGACATCTCCAAGGCGTGAATTGCCAGCAAGCCCGGTAGGAAGCGCAGCGGCGCCGCGGCGGCGGCGCGCTCCGGCCAGTCGCGCAGCAGGGGGAGGACGTCGTCGTCGCTGGTCGCCAGGCGCCAGCCAGGGCCGCCTCGCAAGTCGGCCGCGTCCTCAAGCACGGTGACCAAGAGTTCTCCCGCGGCCTCAAACACGTCGCCCTGCGAGGGGCGCCACGGGGGCCGGGCGCGTGGCGCCCTTGTCGGGGGCGGGAGACGGCGGACCGCGGGCGCGGCAGACCCCTCGGGAGCGTCTGGCAAGCGCGCACCCAAGGCGGCGGGGCTGCTGAGACGCACACACGCACGCAGGCGCGTGCGCTCACCTCCGGGTCGACCAGGGGGCTTGTTGAGCTCGCCAGGCGCGCCAGGCACAGCACGGCGTCGGGCTCTGCAATGAGAACCTCCATCAGCACGCCCCGCGGCCGCCCCGCCCCCGCCGCCACCACTGCGTTCAGGTCTTCGACAGCCAACGCCCACGGTTCCAGCAGCGGCGTCGCTGCGCTCTCAAAGTAGACCCCCTCGCACGCCAGGCGCAGGGCAATCCGGACAACCTCTGGGTTCGGGCCGCCGCCAGCGGGCGGCGGCGCGGCGGCGGCACGCAGGAGCTCCGACAGTTGCATCCCGAGCGCGCGCCAGTGCCGCGGCGCCAGGCTCGCCGACAGCAGCGAGTGCCATAAAGGGCCGCCGGCGGGGTCTGCAGGCAGGACCGCCATCTCGTCGAGTGCACGGGCCGCCGCGTAGGCACAGTAGTCGCCTTCGCCGGCGATGCAGCCGCACGCGGCGTCCACAAACGCCGGCTCGGCCGCCAGCCGGCGGAGGGGCGCCTCGCCGCCAAAGGTGCCCAGGTGGGCGAGGCAGGTGAGGGCGTTGTCACTGGCAACGGGGCTGCGACATGGAAAAGGCGGCCGGAACGGAAGGGGTTCGGACAAACTAGAGAGCGGCAGCTGAGGGCCTGCCGACCGCCTGCTGAGCTCCAACGTAACCCCCGCGCGAGAGCGCTAACTTGATCAGGCGTTGCCGCGCGCACCTAGCGCCGGAGCGCCGCCCGTCCACAAGTGTCAGCAGGGCCTGCACGGCGCCGGCCTGCTGCAGAATCAGGGCGCACGCCTCGGGCTGAAACGCGGAGAGCGTCGCCAGCGCGTCCGCCGCGGCCGTGGCGGTGCCGTCGTTGGCGCTTGAGAGGCAGGCGACGGTCCGGGCCAGGAAGCCGGGCGCTGACGCTAACTGGAGCCCGCGCGGGTTGGAGGAGTCTTGGACCTCTGCGCATGCGCGCCCCCAGCCGGGCGCCTATCGTTACGGCGCCGATCGTGTGAAGCCACGACATCAGTGTTTGCAGCGTCCACTGCGCGTGGAGAGGTCCGGTCCGCGCGCTCGGCACCGCAATCGTGCCGCTCCGGCTGCCGTAATCCCATGCTTCCGCTCACCCGTCCCCCCCTGGCCACCACCACGACCACTACCTAGCGATAAGAATCCGGCCGCATGGAGCACCACCTGCAGCGCCCCTGAGTCCGTGGTCCGCATGCAGCCCACCAGGTCCTGCAGCAGCGCGCCAGGCAGCGCCGTGCTGGTGTTTGCGGTGGAGGCAGCGGCCAGCGCAGCCAGCGCGTCCTCGGCGCGGTCGAGCGTGTTTGCTGCGCCGCGGCCCTTGGACTTCTTGAGCAGGGTGATCAGGGTGCGGGTGGCCTGTTCCACGGATTGGAGTGCTGCTGATGACACTGCGGCTGTGGGTGGCGCCGCAGGCACTGGGGCGCCGGGCACTGGGGCAGCGGGCGCCATTGCGCCCCAGTCGCCCTAAAATTGCGCTATCACGTGGACCGGGGCTGCATTAATGACTGCATGATCCTGTTGACGTTGATAACACTGCGTTCTGCTTTGCTAGGCGACTGGTATCATGCTTGTATCATTCGTTGTCAGGGCCACAGCCGTGGATTAGCCCTCACCAGAAGATATATGAGATCAAGCAAGTACCCGGTATCATCCGAGAACTGTGCCCATCCACAGGGCGGACCTGCTACACGGCACGGCCAGCGGGGCCTCATTGACACCTTGAGTAATGCAAGGCGCAAGCAGCTGCTACCGGGCAGGTGCCGGTGACGTGCACAAGTCCAGCACCTGGGAGCTCAAGGGAAAACGTTAAACTTCTGAGGAGCAGCTACAATGATGTGGCAAGGACAGCGTTGGCCGTTGCCCGGTGCGTACTGACGCTGGCCACCCCCCTCCCGAGCGCACATGGGGCGCCGCATACGCCGATTGCAGCGCCGAGTGCTGCGACGATGCTCGCATGCATCAAGCGCTTATGATTGTTGTCAGTCGCAAGACACTGTGATGTGTGGTCTTCCAGGTCTGCTACGCCAGGGCCAGCAGTTGTTGCATCCAACACAACAGACACTGAGCAGGAGCAGTCAGCGCGGCAAGCGCTCCTGCGAGCCCCTGTGCAAAGGCGCTGAGCTGCTGTTGCGGACGAATGGTGCGAGTCATGCTCATCGGGCAGCTTGTATTGGGCAAGTAATATCCTGATTACTTGGGAGTTGCTGTACCCCCTGACGACTTGTGCCCATCCAAGATGGGGCCGCGTGCGGCCTCCCCATCCCACCGAATGCGCAGCCTCCTACGCCCCCTGCGACGTCGGGCATTGCACACTGCTGGCCGTGCCACGCGCCGCCGCACCAGCAGCTGCTGCGGCAGCCGTGCCGCGCTGCACGCCTCCATGCACGCTGCCGCATGTACAGTAACCCCATGTTTGAGCTGCAGCTCGCAGACATCACCATACATGTCCGTGAACATTTGCACAGCCCTGCACGAATGCACTGCCGCTTGAATACGTTTGTGCACGCCAGCCATGGGAGTTGCAATGCACTTTCAGGCAAGCGCTGGACCTGATGGCTGATGCATGAGGCAAATCGCCACACACCAACAAGCGGGGCAGCCGTTTTCGGCCCAGAGCGCAGGGCTGCACCCAACGATTGCTGGAATCCCAGCGCTGCGGGTGGCAAGCGGTTGGCACACCGGCGCAGGGAGTAGGGTTGTTACAACATCGCGCGGTCGCCCGCTCCTGGAGCCATCCAGGCTCATGGGATGTGACTGTGTAGCAGCAGCATTGTGTGTATGGGACTCAGGTCGCCACCGTCCGCCGTTCAAAGCAGGCGTGCACGAAGGCCCCAAGTGTGTGCTGGTCTGCATAGCGCACAAAGGCGCGCATGCGGGCATGTGCAGGCAGGTTCGCCAACAAGGGTGCGAAGCGCAGCGCTGCACGCAGGTCCACGTAAGCAGGGCAATCAAGCAGAGCATGTTCAGACAATTCATCAAGGCCAAGGCCGTCACATTGTCGGCAGTGGGTGTGCCCACCGGCACAGGGGTATCCCTGCAGCCAAGGTAGCCCGCCAGCGAAAGTCAGGTCCCACCCTGGGTGCTTTGCAGCAGGGCCCTCCATGCCAGCCCCTGGAGCAGCAAACATGAGCGCTCTGCAAGAGCGTAGGTGCACATTGGAGTGTAGCAGTACAATGCACAGCGGCGAAATGGGGAGCAATGTATTCAGTGTGTCACTGAACGCAATGAGTGACGCACTAACATGGTGCACGCAACGGTGTTGCCACGGCACACAAGCGACGCTTGGTTTGCTCAGAGCTGCTCACGTCAAGCAACCCCCGGCGGACTCCTGCAGCCCCTGCTGCTCCCGCAGCTGCCGCTGCACCTCCTCGCACTGCCGCCTGTGCCCGGCCCGCACCCAGTGGTTGCGGCAGCAGGCCTGGCTGCAGTAGCGCACGCCCGTCAAGGGGCCGCACCCCGCGCAGCGCCGCAGCTGCGCGCCGTCCGCCGCCGTCGCGCCGCAGAACGCGCAGCCCCGCCGCTGCCTGGCCGCGTGCATGCTGGCCTCGGCCTCAGCGCCCTCCCCCTGACCAGGCCGCGCCCCCGCCGCAGCTGCAGCTGGTGACCACCCGCAAGGGACCAGCGGATCGTAACACACATGACGCTCGCCTGCACCCAGCGCTTCCAGGTCTGCATGCGCCATCTCAATCGCGTCTGCCGCCGCCGCGAGCCAGCAGGCGAGCCCGCCGCCTGACGATGCGGCCCCAGGGGTGCGCGCCATCGCGGTCAGGCGGCCGTTCATCAATGGGTCCACCAAGGCGCCGGGGGGCCCCGGCGGCGGGCCTTGGCCGATGCAGGTGCTGCAGCTGTAGTCGCTCCCAAGGCAGAGCGCGGCGATCAGGGATGGGCTGGCGGCAAACAGCAGCGACCAGCGCCCGCGCTCTTGCTCGTCGTTGCTGCAACTGCAATCCACCTCCTCTGCCCCTTCCTCCACCGCCTCCTCCTCTTGCTGCTGTTGCTGTTGCTGCTGCTGCTGCTGCTGCTGCTCCCGCCGATGCAGCATCTGCCTTGACTGCGACGGCAGTGCTCGGGACATCTCCGCAATTTCCTGCCGCACCGCAGCCTTGCGTGCCTTGTTGGTGTTGCGGACCCCATCGTGCGCAGCCGCCAGCCGCCACCCAATCTCCGCAGCTTTTTCACTTGCCGTGCGCATGTCTGGGTACGGCGCAGCTGCCACTAGAGCAGCTTCCTCCTGCATGATCCCCCACAGCTGATCCAGCAGCAGCCGCGCACGCGCCGCGGCGCCGCTTGGCGCCACGCCTGCGCCGGCCGCCTCGCCGGCGCAGGCGATACACCGCCGTGCCTCGACCAACGCGAGCGCCAGCAGCGCGAGAGATTTCAGCTCGCCGCAGCCGCCCACCGCAGCGACCGCCGCCCACAGGTCCTCCCAGTCCCAAGGCCCAGTCCCAAGGCCTGCGGCGCCGTCGCCACCGCCGCCGCCGCCCTCCTCCTTACCCTCGCCGCCGTGGCGCCCTGAGCCAGGGAGCTGCATTATCAGGACACGGACGAGCACGGCAAGCACGCAGCGGCATACCGAGTGCGCCGCGGCCGCCGTGTCCGCCTCAGCCTCCTCCTCCTCGCTCAAGGCCTCGCATGCCGCCCCTGCCCCTCCTGCGTCGCCACCCACGCCGCCGCCGCCGCTGCCGTCGCCCCGCAGCTCCCAGCGCCGCCGCCGCCGCCGCGCGTGGTCGGCGAGCACGGCGCGGCAGCGGCGCAGGATGCCGGGGGCGTCGCGCGCAAGCTCGCACCACGGCCGCAGCGGCGAGGGGCTCGACGCTTCGGCAGGGGCGTTGGCGCGCGCCACGAGGGCCGGCAGCAGCTTAGGGCTCGAGAGCGCCTCGGCTGCCCACGCGGCGCCGAGCCAGCCATGGCAGCAGGCGCCCAAGGACAGCTGACGCGTCGCGGTGACGAGGGACTGAAGCAGGGCGATGTGGGTGGGCCGCGGCGGCGCAACCGGCCCGGCGGCGCCCAGGCTGACTACACTGCTGATGCGGGCCAGGGATTTCGTGAGGTGGGCGGCGGTCCTGCGGCTGCAGGCCGCTGCCGGCTCGCCGCCGTCGCCGCCGTGAGCAGGACCGGCATCCCCAACAGGGCCTGCGCCGCCGCCGGCCGCGGCGCCGCCGCCGCCGCCGCCGCCGCCGGCCGCGGCCACTGCCTCGGAGGCGGATTCCAGGGCGCCAGAGATCGCGCCGAGCATATTGTCGTGGGCCGTCAACACGCGCGCTACCGCGCCTGGGCTCACGCAAGAGAGCACGTCCAGCGTCCATGCGGCGGCCTCCACCCATGCGCCGCGCCGCCCCTCGCGCAGGATCCTCCCCATCCCACCCACCAGCTCAGTCCTGGCGTCCCGCGACATCTCAACAGCAAACATTGCCAGCACGCCCGGCACGCAGCGCAGCTGCGCCGCGGCGGCGGGGGGGGTCCGCCAGTCGCGCAGCAGCGGTATGACCTCGTCGTCGCTGGCCGCCAGCCGCAAGACGGGGCCGTTAGGCACGTCGGCTGCATCTCCAAGCAGGGTAATCAGGAGGTCCGCTGCAGCCTCGCGCACCTCATCCTGCGCGGGGCGCCGCGGGCGCGGGCGCCGGGCGTGGCCATGCTAGGTTTGAGGGCGGCGCCGCCGGCGCCGCAACCCCCGCGGGCGCGTCTGGCAACCGCGCAGGCGAGGTGGCGAGGCCGAACAGACGGATGCATCATGCAGACCAAGCGCAAGCCCGCACGCCCGCACGCCCGCGTGCGCTCACCGTAGGGTCGACCAGGGGGCTCGTTGAGCTCGCCAGGCGCGCCAGGCACAGCACGGCGTCCGGCTCCGCAATAAGAGCCTCCATCAGCACGCCCCGATGCCGCGGCGCCCCCGCCGCCACCACTGCTGTCACGTCCTCGACGTCCTCGACCCACGGCTTCAGTAGCGGCGCCGCCGCTCCTTCCGAGCAGATCCCGTGCCACGCCAGGCGCAGGGCCATACGCGCAAACTCTGGGTGGGGCCGCGCCGCCGCCCCCGCGCCGCCCTGCTGCCGCTGCGGCGCGGCGGCGGCGCGCAGGAGCTCGGTCAGCTGCGCCCCGAGTGCGCGCCAGTGCCGCGGCGCCAGGCTCGCCGACAGGAGCGTGGGCGACGGAAAACCGGCGGCAGGGTCGTCGTCTGCGCTGTCGGCGCAGTCTGCAGGCAGGGAGATCATTTCGTTGAGCAGGTGGGCCGCCGCATAGGCGCACGCGTCTCCGGCGCCGGCGACGCGCGCGCACGCGGCGTCCATGAACGCCGGCTCGGCCGCCAGCCGGCGGAGGGGCGCCTCGTCGCCACTCCAGGTGCCCAGGTTGGCTAGGCAGGTCAGGGCGTTGCTGCTCGCGTCGGGGCTGCAAGACAGAAAAGGCAGCCAGCAAGGAACATTGGGGTTTAGGGATGTGAAGGGGCGCCGGCTGATGGCCTGGCGACCGCCTGCTGAGCTCCGGCGCACCCACCGCGCAAGAGTCCTTCCAAGTGCTGAGTCTTATCCACGCACCCGGTGGCGGCGCTCACCTAGCGCCGGAGCGCCTGCCGTCCACGAGCGACAGCAGCGCCTGCATAGCACCGCCCTGCTGCAGGACCAGGGCACATGCCTCGGGCGTGTACAAAACAAGCGTCGCCAGCGCGCCCGCCGCGGCCGTGGCGGTGTCGTCGTTGGCGCTCGAGAGGCAGGCGACGGCCCGGGCCAGGAAGCCGGGTGCTGACGCGAGCTGGAGCCGGCGCGGGTTGGGCTCGGGGGCGCCTGCGAGCGCGCGCGCGCGCGGGCGCCCGACCGGCCGGCCGTCTTCCGGTACTGCACGCTCCCAGGAAGCCACGGCTGCGTTTTCCATGGCGCATGCGCCGGTGCGCCGTCTTCGGAGCGAGGCGACCGCCAGTCCGCGCGCTGCGCACCACTGATGCACCGCTCCGGCTGCCCATGGTCTCGCGC